CCCTAAACCCTAAACCCTAAACCCTAAACCCTAAACCCTAAACCCTAAACCCTAAACCCTAAACCGGCAAGTCGGGGCAGGGAACCCTAAGCTCGAAACCCTGAGCCCTACGCCGGATTTGAAGCGTAGGTCTCTCCAGCGATTTCATGGCATACCGCGCGAAAGTGCTGCCAAAAGCAGAACGTCTTCCCTGCCACTGCCTAGAAATTTTAGTTCGGGCTCCCCTCTGAATGCCCAAAACATGAAGCATGTTTTAGGGTTTAGGGTTTACCTATAGTCTCAATTGTAGTTCCCTTTTTGGGGTTACCTTCTAGGCTCCTTAAATATAGAATTGGTGAAACCCAAAAAAAGGAACTACAATGGAGACTGCAGGTAGGGTCAGCTTCAGGGTTCTCCGGTTTGCAATGTGTTGAGTTGCATGCCCCAGGTTTAGAGAGTTCTAGAGGTTTAGGGTTTAGGGTTTAGGGCTCTAGAGGTTTGGGGTCCAGGATTAGGGTTCGGAAGTCTGGGGGCGTTGGAATCGTCCTTTCAGGTCGATGGCTCTCCACCGGTGATCTTTCCGGAAAGCAGGGCCCTTACTGGCGGGGCATCGAACTTCAGTCTTTGGGGCTCCGCTAAAACCGTCGTGTTTTAGTATCGTATATCTCACTCGACTACGAGGCCCGTGCACAGCGCAAGCAGTGCAGAGCGAGCCATGTCCAGAAGGTCTAGTTAGTATCGTATAATATGGTCTAGTGTAGCATAGCATAAGTTATTGTGTATTGTGATCTATGATGTACTGCGTTACGTTGCATCGTATTGTATCGGATTGTGTTGTACCGTTTCGTGCTACAAATGTTCTGAACAACAAGCATCCAGCCGCCTCTAAACTCTAAGCCCGCGTCGGTCCCAGAAACCCTAAGAATGGAAACTTGAGGCTCAACAAGCCCTTGCCCTAATCTACCTAGACCGCCTGTGCCGCATAACTGTACCTTCACCCGAAAACGGTCTCTACAGTGACATAGCAAAGTACATACTAGATTGGTACATCACGTTGTATAACAAGGGGGGAATCTTTCAGATTTGTCTAGGTTGCACCTTGTGAGGTTTGGCTTGTAAAACGATAAGATGTAAAACCAAGCGATAACATTTGGATGTATGTTATATGGCACGACGACGACGACGACGACTACTACTACTACTGCTACTGCTACTGCTACTGCTACCGCTAATGCTGCTACTACTACTACTACTACTACTACAGCAGAGCTACTTCTCCTGCCATCGCTATGTGCAAACCCAAGCTTGGAGACTAACTAGATTCTGCATGCAAACTCCGAATCCGAGGCACATTGAGTATCCAAAGCGATAACAAAACGACGTCTTCGGTTTGACAGACGTGCCTTTTGAAGGACACGAGCCATCCGGTACTCGTGCCAGCTAGCAAATGGAAGATGCTGGTAGCCTGTTCGCACGATCTATGGACACCTTGGGATACGTGATCGTAGCGAAGTTGCAAGATTCTGCAAGCCACCAAGAGCCAAGCCTGTGCCCCGTACCTGTTATGCGTGATAATCCTTGATACCTGGTAAAACGAAAAGGAGCAAAAAGAACGATAACCTAGTCTGGGGGATGAGGGATTCCTAGCGGGATTTTTTTGTTACAGCCCTCGGGATTTATAAGGTTGAAGTCTGATAGACCCTATAAGGGTCCCTGTCCTGGACCCTTAGGGTGTATCATCAGACTTCAGCAGTCTAAACCCTGGAGGCCTGATTAGGGTTTGGGGTTCAGATTTAGGGTTTAGGGGTTTAG